GTTTAGGAGATGTCACCACGTGGATCTGATCCCACGATCCCCATGTTGGCTAAATTAGTATAAATAGCCCCCCTTTGTACTGAAAAAAGGATGGTGCGATCAATAGAGAAAATAACATCATTATATGTTTTGCTTTGTCTTACAAAACACAAGTGAAGAACATGTGTACTGAAGAGAACTTGTTGATAGCGTGAGTGCTGTCCAAATCCAATCGCTGGAGCCTGAACAATTATGTTTCTCGTCGGAAAGTGCATCCCACGTTCATTACAGTCAAACTACCATTTCCATTTCGGTACAAACGTGCTAGATCAACACCTGACGTGGCAAGAGTGAGCTCGACATCTGTTGAGTTCATTTTTTGGAGTTAACAATTATCTTAGTTAAACATATGAGATCCAAATAAGTCATTTAATCTCTCTTAATAAAATTGTTTGGACCAAAATTGGGAATAAGATATCCTATGCCCCTGTTTGACTCACATTATTTTTTTCATTCTCATTATTCTACTCATTTTCAACCACACATTTTTCAATAAAATGATATTTTCCTTCACATCAATAACTTTTCTTTCATTTTTAACCACATATTCCCCATCGAATCACTTCAAAAAATGCATTCTTTCATTTTAATGTACACCAAACGGGCTCTAATTAATAAAATGTTAAGAATAAGAATAAGATGAAAAAAAGTTTTAAGTCATAAATATAACAATGTGTAAATGTTATGAACTTTTATAAAATTAAAATGTGGCTTTCTTATAAAAAGGGGATAATTGTAGCAGCAATACCAAACATTTCATTAAGTAACAGACTTTGTTCAAACATTTCATTTGTGTCACCCATGGTACCAAACTTTTCAAAATGTCGTAATTGAAGTCCAAATGGATGGTTTCTCTTAGTTTGACCTTAGTTGACCAAATAATTGACTTTGACAATAATTTTAACTGATTTTAAAAGGTTAAAATGGAAATTTTACATTTTAATATAACAAAATAACCAAAATCAAATAATTAAAATTAAAAAATCATTCCACATTCTTCTTCTTCATCCACCCCACCCCAAATTTGCAAATCTAGGAAACCAAAATCTTCGAATCCTTGAATCCATGGCTTCAGAAACATATAACTGATGCAAGAAATCATAAATAAACCTCTTTAAATCCTTGAATCCATGGCGCCAGAAACCCGCATCTGCACTCTCATTAGCTCCCCTATAGTCATTGGCTTCTTTATTTTCCCTCACGAACCATTACTTCTCGGGCTCCCACCTTCAGATCTTGCTTCGAGCTGGATCTCAAGCCCAATGCTTTCTTCATCTTCGATGCTGTTGTCGAAGTCAATGACCTCTACAATGATGGGGACAAATTATTTGAATTATTACCATTAATCTTCGAGGAATACCATCGTTGCTAGTAATATTGTTATTATTGCTCTGGTTGTTGGAAGTGTAGGTGAAGGGTTTGGAAGAGGATGAGCAAGTTGATGCGAGGAAGATATCATAAGCCGAAGCACGAAAGTCTATGTCGGAGAAAGAGACATTTCCAAAGGGTGAGGGAAGTGCGGCTATGGAGGAATTTATCGTTGTCGTGAAGCTGGAGGTGGTGGAGGACGACGACCTATTAACATCGGCGTCGACGCTGGCGGTGGAAGAGAAGGAGAAGGTGGGGTGGGGTGGGTTTTTAATTTTAATTATTTGATTTTGGTTATTTTATTATAAAAGAATGTAAAATTACCATTTTAACCTTTAAAAATCAGTCAAAAATATTGTTAAAGTAAATTATTTAGTCATCCATTTGGACTTTAGTTACTACATTTTGAAGAGTTTGGTATCGTGTGTGATATAAATGAAAAGTTTAAGCAATGTTTGCTACTTAATGAAATATTTGGTACCACT